GGAACTCGTTGATTGCCGGGTTTATGGAACGAATGCAGACGGAGCTGAGGGCTCTGGTACCAGCCGAGTACACGCTGAACGTGGCGAGGGCAGATGACCCGATCAAACACACATGGCTAGGAGGAGCCAACGTCGCTAGCCAGCCCGAGTTGTTGAAGGAGTTGCTCGTGTCCAAAGCCGAGTATGACGAGAGGGGCTCTACGTGGCTCGTGAAGAAGTTTTCATGATATACATAATAGACACTTTCACGACAGTACTTTTTTTCATATCAGTTCCAGATATCTCTGCATCTAAGTAAAAAGTGCAGGCAGAGACCAGATGGTGCAGGCTTCCCCAGGCTCGGGGCTGCTAGAGCGCTGATTGGCCCATGTCCGGCGGCTTGGCGTGCTCGTCGACATGTCGAAGGAATTTCCAGTAGACGTGCATCACCCGCATCTCGAACCCAATGCGCCGAATACCGCGCCCCTCGCGGGCAATTGATCCCTCACATCCCCTCTCCGCTTGCATACGGCAACGAGTCTCGCCATTGCCTTGCCGCCCCGCCCCGTCGCCCTGCACCCATCTCCGCACCACATCCGCCGCCTTCTCCACAACCGCACCCCAGTCCTTCCTGCTACCGGGTAAACAGGACAAGAGAAAGCACCAGCAGTTCGTGCGAAGATGGCAGAAGCGTCTGCTTGGCGACTCGGAGCCTATAGGTGCACATGTCGACCCTTATGATCCCACATCACCGGTCCGCATAGCGCCTGAAGACCAGGGCGAATACGAAGAGGTCCTTGACGAGGAAGCCTCAAAATCCCCCCAATACAAGCCGGCCAAGTATCTACGCGGTCTTCCTCGGGTCGGTGGCGAGGAATGGCTACAGGAAAAGGTCGAAAAGGACTTGGCTAAGGAATTCGAGAAACTCACGCTACGGACGTACACGCCACTGACACTGGACATGGCCAATGAGATCGAAGAGCTCACAGGCACTCCATATACTTTGAAGGACGAGAACCTGCTTATGGCGCAAACTGTACACGAGAAGACTAAGCGCCCATATACCGACTACAACTTTGGCCTCCACGCCAAAGCTACCCGAGTTACCGATATGCGTGCCCGTTTCACACAAGCTGTCGCCGAGATCTATGCCCTGAAGCAGGCTGATCTAGATATGGACCTGTCCAAGTTTGCCAACCGAGGTGTTTACGATCGGCCACGCTGGGTCAAGGACATCAAGCTAGTCAAGACGGAAACCGGTGAGCTTGCTCTTGCCTTTCCCCAGCACAAGAGTTTGGATGATCTCCTGGAGACGATGCAAACGGCGCCCTCTTGGGAGACTGAGCCAGCGGAATCGGACGAGCTGCTCGTTGAAGAGGTCGTTGAGGAACTTGAGGATGCCGGCCTTGCACAGGAGCAAGTACAGACCATGGACCCCGACACACCAGCACACAAAAGGGCGGCGGTGGTCAAGATGGATGGCGAGAACAAGCCGTTTGACTTTATGTCGAACCGCCCCGTCCCTCGCGCCAAGCCAGTTGAAGCGCCCGTCAAGGAGGTGGTCGTTGAGGAAGTGGTCGTTCAAGAAACCACGCCACCTCAAGGTGCTCAAGAAGGACTCCAACCCGAGTCTCTTGACCATGCAGCCGACCCGGAGCCCGTCAACCAAATCGCCCCAGCAGCAGCGAGCGAGTCGCGACATGCTATCCTCGAAGAGAGAGCGCAACGTTTGGCGGCTGACTTTGCGGCTCTGAAGAACTCAGTCCAGCAGAGTAGCAGAAAGTCGTCTGCCATCAAGCCTGAAGAGACGAAATGGCGGAACGTTCCCGTCACTGACATCAACGTCAAATTCGCTGTACGTGTATCGACAGTCTTTATCTTGCCTTTGCTGACTTCTGTAGCTTTACAAACGCCTTTACCAACTTACCGGCTGCCGCATCTCTGACCCACACCTCTCTTCCGCGAACACCCTAGGCGACCTATACAATCATCTATTAGAGGCCGCCAAACCGCAGCCTACCAGTCTCTTCAGCGCTATGCACATAGAAGGACAGAAGGCACGTGAGCGAGCGAAGCAGCAGGCCACATCTGATGCCGAAGCCAAGAGGAGGGCTGACCTGGGCGATTTGATTAATATGGGCAACGTCGAATTGCGTCGCGTCAAGCCCACCAAGGTTGAGAAGCGCAGCAAGACTGGTCAAGACAAGGTTATCAGCTATGCTCTATGGGAGCGTGGTCTGGGCTCAGGAATACCCGCCAGACTTGGACAGATGAAGCAGAAGAATCGGCGGGGAGTAAAGAAAGCACAACCCGAGCGTGGAACAGTCACCCCCTTAACCAGTAAGGCTGCCAGTTTCTTGCTAAAGAACGGTGGTAGCATGCAATCAGCACACGCGTAAGCGGCGTAGCGGACAGTACGTGGAATCATGAATACATTTGCATCTGATGCATGACTTATGCCCGACCATGATCTGAACGGGTCAATATATTGTATAGTATGTACACTAAGAGGGCTGGCATAGTTGATAGCTTCCTTCTGCTGGAGCGCCAAATAAATGCGCTCTGCCTTGCTTCGTGGAAATGATGAAAATGTCTCACGGACTGGGAAATGACAGCGCGTGACGGAATTTTGCTTCGCACACGGCCTGTAGGATAGTGTGCTTACGCATCGGCCTGCTCCGAGAATGCAAATCAGGCAGCCGCTCTGTGAACGGCTCGAAAGCTCGAAACCATCCCGCTAGTCAGCCACAGACCGAAGTCGCACCTAATACGTACACCAACTCCTGATAAGCATCAAGCCATATGCAGGGCTCACACGCAACGCTCCTTACCGAGGGAGCAACCCACGATTGCCGACAGGCTAAGCTTTGCCCAGAAGTGCTTGTCAGAGATAAGAGTGGAGCTACTAGTTCTTCGCAAGCACACAGGCTAGGCGGCATACGGCAACTCGTTTTTTCTTCGCACCCTGTCATCGGCGTCAAAACGGCTTTTCATGACGCGGCTGGGAGCCGAGTGTGCGCGGTGGGGTAATGTACTATAGAATGACCATGTTTCGCCTGGTCTGACCCTGGGTTGGTTTTGTACCACCCTTTCTAGCCATCTCTTTCTGAGCATCCGTTACGATCGGCTTCGCCCATGATGTTGTCAGCGGAAAAAGCCCAGGACGAAGCCAGTCTTTCGACAGACAGCGGCAGAGGGGTCGGCGCTGCTACAGCCGTTCCGCGCGAAACAGGATTCCTCGCCAAACTACGCCGGTTCGAAGAGCGATTGGATGCGAAACTAGGTAAGTTTTGACTGTACGAAGTGCACGTGAGACATATACTGACTTCGTACCTCTACCTCTGCAGGCATTGAATCCGAAGCCATCAGTCGCAAATTGCCAGAAGACAAGGGCCACGTGCCATGGCACCACCAACTCAACATGTTCTTCCTCTGGGCCTCGGGCACAATGAACACGTCCTGTTTCGCAACGGGGTTCCTTGGACATGAGTTTGGTTTGAGTAAGACCACTGCTTTCCCTGTGCACTTGCAACAGCTTGGCTGATGATCCTTGTGCTTCTAGCGCTTCGCCAGAGTATCGTCATCACCATCTTTGCGTCTATCCTTGGTGGCGCAGCGACAGGGTTCGCTGCCACCTTCGGTGCGCCAACTGGGCTGAGGCAGATCTCCATGTCGAGATATGCGTTTGGGTGGTGGCCTAACAAGGTTATTGCTGCCCTAAACACTATTGTGCAGATTGGCTGGGCGTCCGTGGCTTGCATCACGGGTGGTTTGGCTCTGACTGCTGTGGCGGATGGCCATATCTCGCTGATCGTTGGTATCGTTATTCTGGCTGTGGTTGCTACGCTCATCTCCTTCGTCGGTCTGCGAGCTATCCTGGTCTATGAACGCTATGCGTGGTTCGTCTTTTTCATCATCTTCATCATTTTCTTTGCCGAGACGGGCAAGTATACCGACAACAGCAACACGCCCAAGCTGAAGGGAGCGGACCTCAGTGGACAAGTCCTGAGCTTGATTGCTATCGTCTACGGTAGCTCTGCATCCTGGCAGACCATGGCATCCGATTACTACGTTCATTACCCCATCAACGTCTCCCGCTGGAAGGTCTTCCTTATGACCACCTTCGGTATCGCGATTCCTACTTCCATCGGCATGCTGGCTGGATGCGTCGTATCATTCGGCATGAACAACCGACCAGACTGGCAAGAAGTGTACGACAACGACGGCCTGGGCTTTCTCATCCAAACCATGCTTTATCCACGTGGTTTCGCCAAGCTGATCCTCACGCTTCTGGTCCTTTCCGGCATCAACGTAAACGTCATTTCGATCTACAGCGCCGCCATCTCTTGCCAGCAATTTTCCCGCCCATTTGCGCGCGTTCCCCGCTTCATCTGGATTCTGGTCTGTTTCGCCGCCATCCTTGGCCTCGCTATTGGTGGCCGTGAGCAACTGAGCGTCTACTTGGAGAACTTCCTTAGTCTACTCGGTTATTGGACAACCCAGTACTTTGTCATTCTTTGCAGCGAGCACGTCATCTTCCGCCGTATGAGCTTCGACAACTACGATTTGGATGCTTGGAACGATCCCAGTCGTCTGCCGCTGGGTATTGCTGCTGGCACCGCCTTCGCCATCGGAATCGTCGCGTGGATCCTTGGCATGGTCGAAACGTGGTATGTCGGACCGCTAGGTGGGCTTATCGGAGCTGATGGGGGTGACGTTGCAAATGAGTTCACATTTGTTGTGACTGCCCTGGTGTATATACCTGCGCGGTATCTAGAGAAGAAGATTGTTGGGAGGTAGGGGGATATGGGCTGCAAAAGTAGCAGCACTGCGAACAAAGGTTTCGAACGTGTTGATAACGAACAATCAATAACGCATGCATGATCAGACCTTTTGAAAGTGGCTTCGTACTCCAACTGCACAAGAACTGAATCTTATTAGTAAACACTATGCCAGCTGCGACAAAGCCGCGCAACTATCGACTTCTCGACTTACACGTTTTGAGTAACCTATGAGTACCTTCAAACTTCCCAAGCTCTCTTCGCAATTGCATACATAGCATCTCCTTTCAGCAGGCTGATCATCCATTCGCCGTCCGAAGAGTCTTCGCCACCTAACGCCTGCCCGGCGGTCATCACAGCCCATTGTACAATAGGTGAGGCGAAGTCTGTTTCTCCCCGCACACGTTTGTGTTGCAGATAGTCAGTGATGCAACGGGCGATATCGAGGCCCGCTGCACGAATAGCGGGATAGCAAGAGCTTTCGCTCCGAATATCTGCGCCTGCATATCCGTGCATGTCGCTCGAGAAATATTGCGAGGCTTCGTTCTTGATTTCCAACGTCGCCATGACGCGGAGGGCGTATATCAATGCTGTGTTGTATAGCATCAGCATCCGCGCGACCGAGTCGCTCATGAATCTGTAGATGATGCGCGGTGACGCTTCGGCAGTATTAAGATCAAGACACTCTTCTTCAATGTAAACGTTGCCCTCATTACTATCCCATCGCAGTTTCCACGCTTCAAGAAAGACTAGGAGCTCTTCCGCCTTACATTGCATCTCTTGTCGCCTTTGGGCATAGCCTGGGCCAGACGTATGCTGAAGCTTGAAGAGCTCGTCACTGGCTGCGATTAGTACTGAGCAATCGGCAAGTACGTCATGTAAATCCTGTTCCTCTGGTGTTTCGAGCGAAAGCGCGGTTCTCAGTACAGCTTTCCACTGTTGCCTCGCAAAAATTGATGGTGTTCTGTTCCTCAATGATGCAATCAGTATCATATGTCGCACACCTTTGTAGAGCTCTAGTCTTCGGAATGACGCGTGAACGAGGGATGCTGGGTCGAGTAGTGCTAAAAGCTGTTCCAATCCAAGCATGTGCTTGAGCCAGTTTCTGGGACCGGTGGGCATGAAGAGTTCAAGCATAGCCAGCAGAATGACAGAGACGATTACGTCGTCGTGCGTGCGGCGCTCTGGCTGGCTTAAAGCCTGGTTTAGCCGCTTAAGAGCTACACCATGTATGGCATAACCTTCGGTGAGGATCCGGCTCTGGTGATGCTGCGCCCCGAAGAAAAGGGTTGCAAAGCTGAGTGCAGCTTGAACAAATAGCGAACTGTTGCTCCCTTCTGCTGCGGAATCTTGCGTGACAATGTCTGAGGTCTGAAGCTCCTGCAACCCGAGGTCTATGGGACCATTTGGGAGAAGATGGCGGCGTGCGTAGCAGATGTAAACTTCTTTGTCGTTGAACTTTGGTCTAATTTCAGGTAGATCGAAGCGATATTCAGGAGATTCCGAGGTAGACTCTTCTACTTCCTGCCTCTTCCATGCAGTCGTCAGAGGCGGGTCTGCCGCCTTGGTCTTCAACTTTTGCGACCTCCTAGATTTGACAATCTTGCCTTGAACAAAGACAATGGACTGTGGTCCATCGCATTTGAAGCCAGCCTTTTCGCATCTCTGACATACTGGACGAGTCTCATCTTTAGTAGGGTCAGCCTGATGTCTAATATGCACAACGTTGGCGCTTACCGCACTTGATACGGCGCCTGCGGCAGGTTGAGCACCCTTTCGAACGGCCGGCTACATTGACCATATTCCAGACTTGGGTTTTGCGAGATGCATATGGATGAGACGAATGCGGTACATTGGACGAGGTGGCTGAAAGGGCAGGTGGGGAGGTCATGGGCTGACATGGAGGGACATCGGCCTAATCTGGGGTCAAGCTAAACCGCTTGCGGCTCATTGGGCGAGATGCCGTGACCCCTAAGATGTGCCGCACCGCCACTTCTCGCGTTCTTCCATCAATCTTTTGACACTAAGGCGCAAAGAGTCTCCCAAGCCCCCATGCAGTGTAAAGCCACGATGTTATGTATGCGCGCATTGAGCCGCAAAAGGCATAGGCATATCATGGTATCTTTCGTCCGGTGAGTTCAGCTGTAGATATGGCTTCGTACGAGGGTACCGCGCATTGCCCAATAAATATCATCACTGCATCTCCTACCGTCACATTAAAGTTCAAATCTGTCTTCGTCGTAACAAATCCTATTCATTGAGCTTACCAAGTGATCATCGCATCTCATCTGCCAATTCGCAGCTATGACCGTCACAGCAAGCATAGACATCGCATCCTCACCGGAAGACGTCCGCGCAAAGGTATGAGCTTGACCTGTCCCGGCCTAATCGAAAGCTTGATGACCACAATGCTTACAAGATCATCAGTTTCTCGACTTCGCATCCCTCCCGCAGTACCACAAAGGCTTCTTCGCTTCTCTGACCCCGCTCGGCCCCGTCGAACCCGAGAACAAGATGCGCGTCGTCTTCTCCTCGGGACAAAAGATGGATGCTCCAATCCAAGTGCGTCATATTGCGTTGTAATAGACTATGACGCAACATTTTCTAATAAAGTTTGTAGCATAACACACCTACGTCTTTTGCGTGGACAGGGTCAATACCGCTTCTCTTCACGGGCACGCATTCTTTCAATTTCGAGCCCAGTAGTACCATCCCAGGCGGCACGAAGTTCACGCAAGAAGAGGTCTTCAGCGGCGCGCTGTCGTTTCTCATGGGTGAAAACGCGGTGGCACGAAAGTTCGGCTTCCCGGCAAAGACGGAGAAGGGATGGGATGGCTACAACAGTGACCTGAAGGCGTGGTGTGAAGCGAAGTAATGCGCGCAATCGTTCAATGTCTTTTGTTTCGGGTATCTGGAGTTGGGGAATGCCCTTGATGTTGAGTAAGATATAGACTGTCATAGACTTCCATGCGTAACGGTTCGTTCTCTTTCGTGCTCACGTTTCCTACTTCATGCTTTGACCATGATCTTCCGCCCTTTGAACGCCACCCGAGCAGCAATAAGCAACAACACACATCCGAACAACAAACACCCTCCGAACACCCACAAGCTAGCAAAACCACTTTGTTCCTGAATCGCACCTCCGATTGGCGTTCCGATAAGCAGCCCCACACCCACGACAGCGAAGGCCTGACCCATCCTTGTGCCGACCTTGTCTCGCGCGTCACTACTCAGCTGAACGACAATGGCGGGTGGAAGCGAGACGAAAGATCCGGAGAAGAAACCGTAGAATGCCATGAGTACGATGATGCCGGCGGAGGAGGTGGCACCCATGAAGCATATGCAGAGAACGCCAGAGATGATGCAGCAGGGAATTACGACGTTGAAAGGACCGAGTTTGTCGGAGAACTGTGACGGAGAGAAGTTAGCAACTCCAGGCCAAACAAAAGTAGTTTACGGAGGGTTGCGGACAAACTTACCAAATTCGGTACTATACGCCCAAAGACACTCGTACTATTCATGATGGCGAGGAGGTAGAATGCCATACTCTCACTCGTGATATGTTCTTGGATAGCGTAGGTTTGTGCATAGAAGAACGGCATATATAAGCCCATAAACCCAAGGAAGAATCCGGCGACCATGAGACTGTATGACGGCATCAGGAAGGCGCGCAGGTCGAGAAGAGAACGCGATTCTGCCGGAAGAACGCGGACGCGCATACAAACATTCGGTACAATCATAGTGCCGAGAACAATGAAGCCGAGCACCCTCGTCGTCCAAGCGAATCCGATTTTAGAGATGAGTTTGTGGAATACGATGGGATAGATGACGCCGCCAAGCGATGACCCGGCTGCGGCAATTCCAATCACTGTTCCGATCCGAGTAGAAAAGTAGGTTGAAAGGATAGCCACACTAGGGATGAACAAACATCCCGTCCCAATACCGATGCAGAATGCTTGAGCAAGAAGGACTTGCCAGTACGTATGGCATAGACTGAGCATCATCTGGCCCAAAACCAACATGAAGCTTCCCACGATGAGCAGTGCGCGAAAGTAGCCTGCGTCATAGATGGGACCAGTGAGTGCGCCGACCAAGAGGAGCAGGAACGCCTGTATAGACCCGATCCAGGATATGGCTGAAGCACTCGAGCTGACAAGCAGATTCGTTTCGTAATATGTTTGGAATGTTCCGAATGTATTGATAATCTGTGGTGTAGAGTCAGTTCAGGTCTTACATGAAGTCTGTACGTGGTTGTTACTTACGCCCCAAGAGTTAAACAACAGAAAAAATGCTCCGACGACCTGCAGCCATGCCCACAGCCCACCATTCGGTATTTTGGACGCGTCGTTCACATTAGGTTGACTCGATTGATCAGGTTCTAGCCTGCTCTCGTCTGTATCTTCATTGTCCTTGTCCTCTATCACGCGCTCTTTGTGTGTGCTGCGCAGCGAATTCAAAGTCGCATAAGACGGCTGGTGTCTTGGATCCTTCAACGACGCCGCACTGTACTGCGAGTTCAAAGTCGCAAGGGATGACTGTTGACTAGGTCCGCCAAAGTTCGTCAACTCATAGGAAGCCGGTCCAGTCTGTCTACCGGGGTCCAGCGACGATACGTTCGTAGGTGGCATACTGGGCTCGTTCCCGCTGCCAATGTAGCTGTCGCGAGTGGAAGTGTTGTCGCTAGGTACCAAGATGGAGCAGTGACACAGTAGTGAGTGTCCAACAAGCCTCTTGTTGGAGATATGGGATCCTTTAAAACGGAAGCTACCAGTAGCAACGCTTGCCAAGAAGCACACAAGCAGGAGATAACGGAAAAAATAACCAAAGAGTTGGCGGAACGCGGACGTAGAAAGACGTCGATTTGAGACGTGAATGAGAGGCAAGCAGCCCCAGGAGACCCTATATCAAGCTTCGGAGTCGACTGGGGGCATCGGCTAGAAAGGATTACACAGACCTGGGCTGCGCTATACTTCCTCCTCTTTCGGGCATATTCTCAAGCAACCGACAGCTCGCTCCAGCCTTGGAAGTTGAGGCTGAGGAAGACATGGCGAAACGTACTTGCTAAAGTTTGTCCAACACCCCGTAACCCAATCGGGGGATTTTGTTATGAGGAACGTTTCGGTTTCATGCTTTAGTCAAAACCTTAGGAAGTACAGCCTTGTAGACAACGGCGCGCCACGTGCGCGGCAACAGCAGGATGCAGGCCATCTGACCTAGGGCACGCCGAGACATGGCATGCCAAGGCCGCTACGGAGGATCGATTTAGGATCAATTCTTAATCCTTTCTAAACTAATCCTACTTTAAATATAAATAACTTTTTAAATATAAGAGATATAAAAAAGTTTTATATTATATAATTATATATATAAATAGGCTCTATAACTTTATAATATAAACTTTTTTTATATCTTTTATATTTAAAGAGTTATTTATATTTAAAGTAGAATTAGTTTAGGATTAGTTAAGAATTAGTTAGGGATTTAATTTCGCTTATTTTCTTAGGTGGCACGCTAACACATTGCCACCTCAAAAAAATCGCCTAATCGGGCTAGACCTTGCCATGTCTTGGCACGCCCTTGGTCAGATGGACTGTATGCACGCGGCAACAGGCACGTCATGAAACTTTCCTGATTGTTATCTCCGCATTACAGCCGTGCAAGTTCGGCCGAGACAGGGCTGTATCCCATCGTCGTACCTTCCAAGAACACTGCGCTTCGCACATGTAGTCTGCTGAATACCCTGATGCTATTTTCCCGCCCTTCAGCGCGACCTATGTAACCCGTGAAATCTCATCCTCCACCTTTGTATACCGCGCTGCGTCTGATTCCGACACATTTGCCTAAGACGCCGCCGTCATCAGAGAGAGAAAAGGAAACATTTATGCCGTAATGATGTACAAATCAAAGTCAAGCTGGCATGCTGTCATGATCTTGGGGAATATGCTTCGTCACATCGTAACGTACTTTTGGTGACCGTAGGAAAGGTTTTGGTGGAAGGACTCGCTCACAACGCCTGCGTGAACGCCCATGAACGCTCACTATGCTTACACCCTAAGGAAACAACCGACCTGGTCTGTATGCCGCCGGCCCGAAAAGTCGTGCCGAATGTCGAATGCTGACATGAGAAAGAACTAACGTCGTCGAGGCTCCACTTGTTCGGACGGCCCCTCATGTGTCGCTGGCGACCCGTTTCGTCGCCAAGCGATGGCCGGAAGGGTGAAGAGGTGATGGCTCGACTTGCTCCACGCGTTCTTCAAGATACACGTTGTTCAAGAGGCCGGCTGGAATGGTGCCATCTTGGCTCGGCTTCAGCTGACCCGCCGATGCCTTTAGACGCCGATTTTCACGCTCATTGACTACTTCGCGCAGGATCTTGGTAGCACCACTCCATCCGAGTTGATTCGCTGTTGCCCGATGATTGAAGAGCCGTTCCACGAGTGGAAGTGGCAAAGATAGCAGGATAGTCGACAGCACGACAGTCGCGTGGCTAGGGCGGTGATCATCTTCCGGTGGCGCGTCACCGAACCGAATCTTGCTTAGCCTTGGGTTATGCGCGGCGTTGCGTGGTTCAGCGAGTGCTGGCAGACGTGGAGCATCTGAAAACTCTGGCGCTATCGCGTACAATTTGAAGTCGACAGGGAAGGTGTATGCGATGAACTCGAGAGCGTGATTGAGCAGCATTGAAATGAAGGGGTCTTCTGCATCGGAACTTTCACCTCTTGATCGTGGCCCAGAGCTGGCCTGCAGTGTATACTGCAGTACCTGCTCGACAGTGTCCCATCGGAGAAGCATCCTTGCGAT